CCCCCCCCCCCCCCCCCCCCCAAACAGAGAAAACATCTTTCACAAACATCTACATTTCTCTCTCTTTTAAAAGTTTTTAGTTGTATGAGTAGTATTTATACAGTATGTGTTAAGGAACTGCTCCGAGACTGAGTGAGGATCCAAATGCAGTGTTTATTAGGACAGTCCAGAATCATAATCAAACAGCAGGCAAGGGTCAACACACATAGGCAATCAGTCCAACTAAACAAGGCAGGGAACACAGGCACAGGCAAAGGCAAAGGCAAAGAAACAGGAGAAACGCTCAGAGATGCAGGGTAACACTTGCAAGACTTTGCCAAAGCACAGGGGGAAAATGCAGGGTATAAATAGGGAGAGACAAGCAGGATAACGAGGTAAGAAGGGAAAGGAGCTAATTAAACACCATAGGAATTAACAAGGGGAACCATGACAACAAACAAGGCAGAGGGGCAAAGAGCAGATGAGAACAGGCAAGGAATCATGGGAAATGAAGTCCCAGGTAGAGTGGCAGAGTCAGAGATTGAGGGCCCTCCGGTGGAGCTCATGGGCACTAGAGTTGGAGATCGTGACAGTAGGTGATATAATAGCACAATTCTTAACCCCACCCCAGACGTCACTAATTTTCAAACACTGGTTACGGCTATGGCTGGATGTCTGACTATGAGGGACAAAGAGATGATACTGAGAGAGAGACGGGGGATGCGTTCCATTCAAAAATGATTACGCTACTCTTTTCGTCATTATCATCCGATGTTACAGCTTAGGTGCACTGAAAAGTGTGGGCCTCAAAAATAGTCTTTTTAATCTGAATTATTAAAGCATTAAGCCCCAAGTTTACAGTTAATTTAGGGCAAGGGTAGGGTGTACAATATTTATAATCTACTATAGGCCTATCATAATTGTTTTAAAGATGTGCCAGCTATTATGGAATATGTCACTCACTTTTCAAAAAACAAACAAAAACACATCTTGAGAGTTTAAAAGCACTCACTGCATGATTAAACCTATTTGAATGCAGTTAGAATGATTCTATAATTCAAGTTAAGAAAGCAAAAATATATTTTTTTATATTTATTTTTATGGGATATGTGAACACGATCGCGAATGTGACATTGAGTTTATACCACAGTTCAAGAAACAAGAAGTTAATATTGAATGAGTTACTACATTTTAGACACACATTGTCTGTTTTATGTTTCTGTTTCACTAACGAAACAAGCCGGGCATTTGTGAGTTAACACCACGGTGAATCTGTTTATGAACTAATAAAGTGAGCCAATGATTCAAGGATGAACATAAATACAGTCACTTGCTTAGTTTGTAAATAAACCAGCTGTTTTAAACGAGTTGAAATGGCCATCTACTTGCAGTTTTAGTGCCATATTTATTTGCTCATGATCAAGAGGCCTAAACCAGCCAAGGTACCAGCACAAAAACACACTCAGACAAATATTGTTTAATTGTAATTGTAATATCGTTTAATTGTAAAAAATATTGATATATCATTTTTGTCTGATTGATATATATAATTTTTTGGCGGGCTGAGGGAGGGGGGATTTTCTGTGAAAATCTTGTTTAATAACACGCTATAAATAAACAAAAGCTTATTTGTAAAAAAAAAAAGAAAATTTTTGATTAGCCTTTGTTTAGCATTTTAAATTAACTGAAAATGTATTTTATTATCAAGTGAGTACATCAACCGCTCACCATTCAACATTATGGTCACAGACACAGTCACATGACCAAAGTGAATAGATCAGGGAAACATTCTGGGTGCAGGACAGGGGGGGGGAAATAAAACATAAGAAAATAAACCTTTACAATGATGACAGCAATGTCCAAGTGAAATAAACTGCATAGTAAGCATAACCTATTTTTTATTTACTTTTTTTTTTTTTCATTGTAAGTCATGAAGTCAATCAACATTTAACGTTGTTGCCTGAGAGGGAAAATTGATTAACGTCATAATATCAATTCATTTCTGAGTCAAGTCAAGAAATCTTTATTTGTAAAGCACTTTATACAATACAGATTAACAAGTGTTAAACATCAGGTATCAGTGTTTCCGAGTATCTATACTGTCACGGTAAAATAAATAGTAAAAAAAAAGTCACAATATGTTTGTGAATGAGACATTTCCATTTTAAATTGTGTAAATAATGTAGCTCTCCTTCAAGGGAACTTGCACTGCGTCCTCTGAAGGACACTATGGGGAATGCCATCAGCATGACCGGTGTGTCTTAAGCATGTGTGAAAACACTTCCAAATTTATTCGCAGTTGTGTTAACGTCTTATTAGTATTCACCTTTGGCTTTCTCCTCAATCTCAGAGTCGACACCTGGCCACCAAAGGTAGCTACGGGCGATTTCCTTCATCCGAACTACTCCACAGTGCCCAGAATGAAGCTCTTCCAGTACTCGTTGTCTCAGTGGTGGTGGAATAATGACCCTTGAGCCCCACAGTAGGAGGGATGACATTTCTCCCACTTCCCCTCTGAGCTCGAGATCCAAAACCTTGGACATCACTGGGTCAGTACATGTGTGCTTTTTTTACCTGAGCTGCCGTTACAGGGGAATTGTTCACCTCTTTGAAACAGAATTTTTTTTTCAGCCTTTGCTGGTTCCAGATGAACAGTGGTAGATGAACCGGCAGTAGGGAGGGCTTGTCAGCATTAGCATGATGCTCTGATCGTCTGTACTTGATATCATACTGATGCGCAGATAGGAGAAGGGCCCAATGCTGCATTCTTGCAGCTGCAAGTGAAGGAATGCCCAAATGTGGGCCAAAGATGGAGGTGAGAGGCCTGTGATCTGTTAGGAGTGTAAATCGCCTTCCAAACAAGACTTGATTAAACTTCTTCACCCCAAACATAATAGAAAGGGCCTCACGCTCAATTTGGGCATAGCTGCATTCTGCCTTGCTCAAAGTTCGTGATGCGATGCAATGCATTGTTTTTCCTCACCCGATGGCATGATGTGTGACACATCCGCCCCCACACCATAGGGCGATGCGTCACATGCTAGCTGCACTGGCAGGGCGGGGTTGAAATGAGTGAGGGCTGTTTTCACCTCAATGAAAGATTACTCACATTGTTTAGTCCATTCCCACTTTTTGGATTTATTCAGTAGGTCATGCAATGGTTTTAGCCTGTTTGGTACAAATTTTGCGTAATAAGTCAACAGCCCCAAAAAAGTCTGAAGCTGACTTGCAGCTGGTGCTTCCACTATCGCCTTCACCTTCGAGGGTGCCTTATGCAGCCCCGAACCATCAATCACATGGCCCAAATACTCCACAGCAGGGCAGAAAAACTCACACCTGTCCTTCCTGACTTCCAGTCCAAAACTCTGCAGTCTCCTCAAGGTGGCTTCCAGGTTACTCAAATGTTCTTGCTCATCCTTTCCAGTGATCAGCAAATCATCAAGGTAACACTGCACTGTCAGTCCAATGAGGATCCAGTCCATTGCTCTTTGGAACAGTGTCGACGCTGAGGTAATCCCAAATGGAAGTCTCTGATATTGATACATTCCCTTATGTGTCACGATGGTAAGGAGATCTTGAGAGCTTGGGTCCACACATGCAACTGCAAGTAGGCCTGGCACAAATCTGTTTTACTGAACCGTTGACCCCCAGCCAGACTGGAAAAGAGATCCTCTATGGAGCTTGGGTCCACACATGCATCTGCAAGTAGGCCTGGCACAAATCTGTTTTACTGAACCGTTGGCCCCCAGCCAGACTGGAAAAGAGATCCTCTATAAGTGGCAGGGGGTACTGCTCTGGGATCAGAACCAGATTTACAGTAGGTTTGCCGCAATGGACGGTGCTAACGCTTATACCGGTGTTAAGCCGCAACACTGGTCACGTCACTTTCCCACCGTGGCACCGACCCCCACCATCGTTTAGATTTTTTTATAGTAGTAAAAATCATTTAGTTCAGTAAAAGAACAGACACTACAATTAAAAACTGAACGTGGCTGCTCAATGCAGCGTGCCGAACAACAGTCGCATCACAGATCAGATTTCATTTATCCAGTGAGGAGAGTGAGTCGAGCTGACTGACAAGAAGAGTGAGGTGAGACAGACAAGACTATGGCGGATGATTTAATTTCGAAACGAAATGCAAAAGCGCCTGTTTGGCAATATTTTGGATTTTGAAAAGCCTGTTGACTTTTGCAGTTTATCTAAGATGATTTTGGAAGTTTTTTTTTAAACATTTGTTTCTTATTTAATTGTTCCACAGTGTTTGCTGATTTTTATTTCATTTAAACTTTGTATAATTTATTTATTTTATTTGACATTAAGGTGTATGCCGTGCCTCCAAGCTTTCTTATTCGTTTTGCTTATAAACATTTATTCTTATTTATTTGGTTATATATTATACATGCTTACTTATTTCCAGTTTTGTATACCTATTTAAACTTTATGTAAGTTATTTTATATTAGGCATAGGCTTCCCTATAGCATGCTGTATTTTTATTTGTTTTGTTAATAAAAGTTCTATGTTTACATATAGGCTAAAGTGAGTTTGACGTTGTATTTTGTTGTTGCATTCAAGCAATTGTTCGTGTCCATTTAATGCAATTGTAAAATGCGCACAGTGCTTTTAAGCTATTTAAAAGCGAAGGAAAGCGAGGAAAAGAGGTCAAATTCAAACGAACAATTGCTTTACACCAAATTGCCGCTATTTAAAAGTGAAAGTAAAATGCTCACGCCACTTTTACAAGCTATTTAAAAGCGAAGGAAAGCAAGGAAAAGAGGGACCGCCCCGCCCCCACGGTGATACCGGTATTACCGGTGTTGTCACTTGTCGATTAACCGGTGGGAACATTTCCTCACCGTCACAACCCTAATATACAGTCACCTTAAAATCTCTGCATAATCGAAGGGACCCATCCTTCTTTATGACCGGTACAATTGGTGCAGCCCAGTCACTCATGTGTGCTGGTCGCAGAACTCCAGCCTTTACCAGTCTCTCCAGTTTAGCTTCAACCTTCAATTTCACTACAATGTCCTTCATATTTCCGAGTCCATCCCTAAACACATCCGAGTACTTGTTTAGAATTCCTTGGAGTTTTGTATTTCCGCTGACCAGATGTACCTCTTGCCAATTCAGCTAAAATCTTTTCCAGCCAAGTCCTTCCTAGTAAGGCTGGGTGATTGCCCTTAATAAAATAGTGGTAGTTTCCTTTTTTGCATATTGAGTTCAACTGTTACCTCAATTACCCCTTTAACAGGAACTATCTCACCAGTGTAGCTCTTCATTGTAATGTTGGATGGCTGAGGGGTGCGATGCGGCAGCATTTCTTTAAATGTCATCTATGACACCAATGAAACTGCTGCAGCTCCTGTGTCCACCTGCATACGTACTGGTTTTCCATCTAGAAGAGGAGTCATCCAGTAACCTTGTTCATTGCCTGAAACAGATAAAACACATAAAGCATCCTCGTCCCCTGTTCCCGAATCACTCTGTGTTTGCTGGGTGCTTTCCATTTGATTCACATGCTTTTGTTTGAATTTCTGATGATGTTTCTTTTTAGGTCCAGTTTACTTGGTTGTGTCTTTCTATTTTTGTTTATTCTATTCAGGCACGCTCAATGTGACCTTTCTTGACACAATTTCTACAGTTCATGTCCTTGATGCCCCACTTTTCTGCATCGATAACATGCCTTTTCTGAGTTTGACTTGTTCCTTGCGTCTGAATAAACCCTGTGCACTCAAATGCAAAAACTGTGTATTTGAATTTTAGGTTTGCGTCAGGGAGCCTTATCAGTGGCGCATGAGATGCGGTGATGATGTAAGTGTCATTGTTGAATTTTTATGTTTTTGTCAAGATGCGCCACTGCTACGTTTTCCATTCAAAATACCAGCGAAATATAGAAGCTCAATGCGGAGAAGATATTATTTCGGTTAAAACCAAGAACGCATATTCGGCACATTTTTGAGATGCACAACTATGACTGTTGCACTCGCGTCTCGCACAAGAGATGAATAGAAAGCCATGTAAAGTTAAAAGAGGTTCAACTTTTAGAAAACACATTTCAAGAATTTGTGGGGGTTTTATTCCATTCCACTGCATCTCATTTGTTTTTAAATGCAATCGTGTGATATACTCTTTGGCTATTTTTATTAAGCTATGCATAAATACATGATGCTGTTTTGATCGTATTGTTTATAAAATTTACAAAATTATATCTGATTTATAAATATTAGTTTAGATGGTATGCACTTTTTATAGACAACTGTTATTTCATTGCATTGAATAAACTGTTTAATGAGGTGCATTATTTTGCTCATTGCGCCCTCCTGTGGCCTCAGGAGACAGACCAAATGTTTCCTTAACACTTATTTAACCTGCATATAAAATATAAGACAGGAGATATTTGTTTCAATTTTATTTTGTGTTTGACTGTTAAAACTAAAACAAGTTGTTGTTTGTCTTAATAAACTGGGTAAATTAAAAATACAGAAAAATAATTTCAACAAAGTTCCCTTCCCACTACGTTTCATGTACGTATACGAATTTCAGGACATGTATGTAATGTCCCAATACCTACAAAAAAGTCTCTTGGAGCGAAGTCCTAAACGCAACAGGAAGCCATTACGATTTTCCTCTGTGATTTTTGTGCAGTTTTTGCTATTTTAGGCCTCGTACTTTAACAAAATCCTCCTACAGTTTTCATCGGATAATCTTAAAATTTAGTGAGTGTAATCATAAGGCCTTTGTGATGCTAAATTGTGAAGATCTTGAGTTTTTGTTGAAGGGTGTGTCCCTGGCAGCCTGACAAATTTTGATGTTTCACATGAAACATGAAGTTGCTCTAACTCAGGCAAACAATGTCCAATCTACCCCAAACTTCACACGTTTGACGCCTGAACACATGTCCATGGCCATATTCAGTTATAGTCATAGCGCTAACTGCTGGCAACAGAAAGTGACATGTTTAACACTGTTATGGACTCCTAGCAACATATTAAAAAGCGTCAGCAAGTGTTAAATAGGCTAGCAACATGCTAGAAACTTGTTAAAACATGCTAGCAACAACTATTAATGCAATGAAGCAAGAAGTTGCTGTAACTCAGGCATGCAATGTCCAATCTGCCCCAAACTTAATATGCAAAATGCTAGAAACACTAATTTGCTAAAGCATGCTAATACAATGAAACAGGAAGTTGCTGTAACTCAGGCATGCCATGTCCAATCTGCCCCAAACTTAACATGTTTGAGAAGAGTCTTGGCATTCACACATCTACATGCCAATATTCAGTTATAGTCATAGTGCCACCTACTGTCAACAGGAAGTGAGATGTTTAACACTGTGATGCACTATTAGCAACACACTAAAATACACCATTGAGTGCTAAACATGCTAGAAACATGCTAAAATATGCTAGCAACACTTACTAAGTGCTAAAACACGCTATTAATTCCATGAAAGAGGAAGTTGCTGTTACTCATGCATACAATGTCCAATCTGCCCCAAACTTCACATGCTTGATAAGAGTCCTGGCCTGAAGACATCTACATGCTCATATTCGGTTATAGCCATAGCGCCACCTACTGGCAACAGGAAGTGACATTTAACACTGTGATGCACTATTAACAACACAGTAAAATATACCATTGTGTTAAACATGCTAGAAACATGCTAGCAACTGTAAGGGAAACAGGTCAATTTAGCTCAAAGGGAATCATTTAAGATTTTATAGGGAATTTGGACAGAATCACTGTTTTACTGCTGATCACTGAGTCGGCCAGTGATTAATTGAATGAGCCGTACAACATCAACTGCATGGATATTAATATCCAAAATATAGTGAAAACACTATTTATTAGCACAGTAACAAGATCGGCAGTTTTATTGGATAAATCTAAGACATATAAACTAATCGAACACAAACATACACACTCATACATTCACACAAGTTGCAGAAAGAGAGAAAGTGATTAAATAATTTGTTTAGAGGAGTTCAAATATGAAATCCCAAGTTTATAGCAATATACCTGAACAGCCATCAATTATCTAATTAACCCTCGCATTGAGTCTCTCAATGAGGCTATAAACTTTATATTAAATGCACCAGTTCAACTAGAATCTGGAGGTTGTACTTGTATTGCCTTTGTTTTAAGGGATTCCCTTTTGTTGTCATTGCAGAAAGGAGTTTCCCAAGGTTGCTGATTGGCTGGAAGTTCAGTGGTCGTTAGTAGTGGTTTGCGATTGTAGCTCCGCTTTTCTGTTCACTCATACATTCACACAAGTTGCAGAAAGTTGAGAAAGTGAGGAAAGAATGAGTTTAGAAGAGTGAAAATATGAAATCTCAAGTTTATAGCAATATATGCTATTGCATAGACCTGAACAACCATCAATCATCTAATTAACCCTCTCATTGAGTCTCTCAATGAGGCTATAAACTTTATATTAAATGCACCAGTTCAACTAGAATCTGGAGGTTGTACTTGTATTGCCTTTGTTTTAAGGGATTCCCTTTTGTTGTCATTGCAGAAAGGAGTTTCCCAAGGTTGCTGATTGGCTGGAAGTTCAGTGGTCGTTAGTAGTGGTTTGCGATTGTAGCTCCGCTTTTCTGTTGAATCTCTATCTTACTATCACTCTCTGTTGTTCAAAGTGATAAAATATAACTTAATTCCCACCATATTTCTGTTATTATCTATCAAACTAATCTGATTAATTTGATAGTTCGCTTTTATTCTAAAACCGCGAGTGCAGCGCGTTAGCATTCATTAGCTGGTTAGCTTGTCATTCGCGTTTCCATTCGCGTCTCTATTGCGGTTTTCTTTTTCTTTTTTCTCGCCCCGTTTCTTTTCTTTTTTGAAAATGATTACAAAAAGATATACATTCCAAGATTCAAAAACATGCAAATAAAATGTAAAGATGTGAATTAAGTGGGAAAACATTAATACATGATTTTAAGCTGTGAATGGGATATTCACAATGAATTGTTACATTATTGCATTGTATTCCAACATTTTCTTTTAAGTGGTAGAAACTGGAGTTGAAATGGCATCTGTAATATATTCAGTAACACTTCTAACACATACAGTGGGGGAAAAAAGTATTTAGTCAGTCACCAATTGTGCAAGTTCTCCCACTTAAAAAGATGAGAGAGGCCTGTAATTTTCATCATAGGTATACCTCAACTATGAAAGACAAAATGAGGGGGAAAAAAATCCAGAAAATCACATTGTAGGATTTTTAAAGAATTTATTTGCAAATTATGGTGGAAAATAAGTATTTGGTCAATAACAAAATTTAATCTCAATACTTTGTTATATACCCTTTGTTGGCAATGACAGAGGTCAAATGTTTTCTGTAAGTCTTCACACACTGTTGCTGGTATTTTGGCCCATTCCTCCATGCAGATCTCCTCTAGAGCAGTAATGTTTTGGGGCTGTCGCTGGGCAACACAGATTTTCAACTCCCTCCAAAGACTTTCTATGGGGTTGAGATCTGGAGACTGGCTAGGCCACTCCAGGACCTTGAAATGCTTCTTACGAAGCCACTCCTTCGTTGCCCGGGCGGTGTGTTTGGGATCATTGTCATGCTGAAAGACCCAGCCACGTTTCATCTTCAATGCCCTTGCTGATGGAAAGAGGTTTTCACTCAAAATCTCACGATACATGGCCCCATTCATTCTTTCGTTTACACAGATCAGTCGTCCTGGTCCCTTTGCAGAAAAACAGCCCCAAAGCATGATGTTTCCACCCCCATGCTTCACAGTAGGTATCGTGTTCTTTGGATGCAACTCAGCATTCTTGCTCCTCCAAACACGACAAGTTGAGTTTTTACCAAAAAGTTATATTTTGGTTTCATCTGACCATATGACATTCTCCCAATCCTCTTCTGGATCATCCAAATGCTCTCTAGCAAACTTCAGACAGGCCTGGACATGTACTGGCTTAAGCAGGGGGACACATCTGGCACTGCAGGATTTGAGTCCCTGGCAGCGCAGTGTGTTACTGATGGTAGCCTTTGTTACTTTGGTCCCAGCTCTCTGCAGGTC